GGGGGGGGGGGGGGGGACTACATCGTTTATATAATATCTGGAAATGCAGAAGTGTGTGTTTGAGGGTCAGGAATAGAAGATATTATTAGCTCAGCATAAAAAACACACACTTTCTGAGTGTGTATGGCTGTTTCAGGTAGTGTGTGTGTTGTGTACGTGTTTGAATAAGAATTAGTGTGTGTGTGGTACCATGTGTGCAGTTGTCCTCATCGCTGCCTTCAATGCAGTCTGGATGCTGGTCACACACTTTATAGTAATCGACACACTGACTGTCCTCTGTGCACTGAAACTGAGCAATACACACTACACACACACACACACACACACACACACACACACACACACACACAATTAATCAAAAATCTAATTTATTTCTAAAGCACAATAAAAACAACAGCAGTGGACCGCTGTGCTGTACAAAACGTCTGCCAAAATCTCATTAAAATTATAAATAATAATAATGATATAAATGAGCTCAGTGCACTGAAAACACTGATTTATAACGGTTTTGTAGACTTTATGAACAGTTAAAGTCTCAGAAAAGAGATTAATTCTGATGCAGATTGATTCAAACATCACAGGTTATGAATATAAAGCCGTGAGTGTGATTATGGAGCTCTTATGCACACACACACACACACACACACACACACACTTGTGCCTTAATAATGATCTTGAATCAGCTTCTCCTTTTAAAGCGGTTGTGTTGCGCAATAGTGACTCACACACACACACACACACACACACACATTTCAGTCCTTCTGCCCACACTCAAACCATCTCATTTCACTTCCTTAAAGCCGTTTCTTCAGAATTATGTTAGTCACACACACACACACACACACACACACACACACACTCAGGTGTGATGAAGTGGGGATGTACCACAGTTTCTCTCATCGGAGCCGTTCGGGCAGTCGGTGATCCCGTCACACGCTGGAACACACAGACCGTTGAGGATACACAACGCCTGACCGGGACATGCTGAACACACACACACATCACAAAACCATAACACATACAGATATAACACACATACAGTGACACAAGCAATAACACACACACACACACACACACACTGTCAGTGACCTATTTAACTTGATCAACTTCTGAGGCAAGAAATAAACCCATTAAAGCTGCTGTATGTGAGTGTTTGACTCGTCTACAGCGTAATACAGCATCATGCGTGTGCAGATACTCAGAAACATGCTCAGGGAACATTCTTGTTTATCTGAAACTCAATGCTGAAGTCAGATATTCTGATGTGTACATGTGCGTTACGTGCTGGAGTGTCTGTCTTTGTTTTGGTCTCTTTAACCCGCCCAATGCCAGTTCAGCCAATTATATTTCAGCACCCTGGGTTGCCAGATGGTGGAAAACAGTGTATTTCATTTATTCAGTCAGGAAGACTCTCAAAGCATGCGTCCATGACCGAAACACGACCTCTGGTGGACAGCAGCAGACTCCAAAATGAGATGCAGATTCAGAGTTCCACATGAGGTGCTTATTCTAAATATTGGTAGTGTAAACATTAGCTGAGCAGCACATTGTAACCCCGTGTCCTAACAACATGCTGCATGACGAGATGCGCAGTGATGAGCAGTTTGGTTGTTTACAGCAGACGAAACAGGACAGAAATGTAAACACAGCCATTCAGAAGCACAGAATAGAGCCCTCACTGCACTCCAGCACAACGCTGAGCTTCATCATCTGATGAACACATATTCAGGCGCACTGCTGTTGTTGTCGTCAATCTGGCAACCTGTGCTTGTGTGTGTTTTGAACCAGGTGTGCAATACCTAGTTCAACCACTGGGGGTCACACTTACATGCTGCACCTTTAGGGACATTATTAGTGAGTTTGTTGTGTGTGTTTGTGTAATGTGCAGTGTGTGTGTGTGTGTGTGTGTGCACTGACGCTCGGACTGGTTGAAGATGCTGTAGTGTATCTGTATTCCGGGTCCGGTCAGTGAAACCTCAGAGCTCAGAGAGACCGTGATGCTGGAGGACAGAAGGAAGATCCGCTCCGCATACGGCTGCAGCCCGCGCACACCACACAGCCTGCACACACACACACGCGCGTTAAACATTACACTTTACACATAAACACAACCTCACACAGAGACACACACATGTGAAGGGTGAGGGGTGTGTGTGTGTGTGTGTGTGGCACTGGCCTGCGGCTCTGGATGCTCCAGCTGCCCTGTGTGCACGTCTGACTGTAGCTGGCCCGGTTCAGCTCATAGCCTTCAAACGCCAGAGTCAGACCATAGTCCACTGACGGCACCCACACACACACACACACACACACACACACACAAACACACACACACACACACACACACACACAAAACCCTAATTTGTATGGTGAAACACATTGAGCACAATGCTCTGTGAACGCAGCATGAGTGTGTTTGTGTGTGTGTGTGTGTGTGTGTGTGTGTGTGTGTGTGTGTGTGTGTGTGTGTGTGTGTGTGTCTTCAGCTCCTCCTATGATGGCGTATGACTGCGCACGCTGTAAGTGGAATATCCTGCTTTCCCTGAGGCTCCTCCTCCTCCTTCTTTATGAATGTCTATAACGTCTGTCTGTGTCAGTTTAATTAGTGCGCCTGACGCTGTGTGTGTGTGTGTGTGTGTGTGTGTGTGTGTTCTGTCATCAGCTGCTCGTGTTCCTCTGCGTGCAGGAGGAGGAGGAGACGCCAGTAAGTCAGATACACTCCTGTATAAGTCATGTGATCTCGCTCTGTGAGTGTGTGTGAGTGTGTGTGTGTGTGTGTGTGTGTGTGTGTAACCCAGCCGGACTCTCGGCTCGTCTCTCAGAATGTTCTGCTGTTGTGTTTCAGTGATGTACCGTGAAGCAAAGTCTGCACGGGTCTCTCAGCCGTCTGCCCCCGTCGTCCTGATGGAGAGTGATTCTGCATCCGCTCAAGGTATTCAGTCGTGTGTGTGTGTGTGTGTGTGTGTGTACTTCAGCTGTGTTGACCCAGTGCTGACGTGTGCTGTGCTGCAGAACCTGATCACCAGCAGGACCCACTACTCCAGCTGGTGTCCCTGCAGAGCGCCTCGGGCAGCTGGGAGATCAGCAGCGCTCTGTCTGCGGTCCTGGAGAAACCCGAGGAGGAGCTCCGGAAACACACTCCGGCACAGGTGTGTGTGCGTGTGCGTGCGCGTGTGTGTGTGTGTGTGTGTCTGTGTGTGTGTCTGTCTGTGTGTGTGTGTGTGTCTGTGTGTGTGTGTGTGTGTGTGTGTCTGTCTGTCTGTGTGTGTGTGTGTCTGTGTGTGTGTGCGTGTGTGTGAGTGTGCGTGAGTGTGTGTGTGTGTGTGTGTGTGTCAGAGTGTGTGTCTGTACTGTGTGTGTGTGTGTCTGTGTGTGTGTGTGTGTGTGTGTGTG